CTAATTTTATATTAACTCTGAACAAATTATCAACATTTGGTGCTGATTATCTAATGCAATGTCCAAAGTTGTTCGTGATTTATACTTTTACAAAAGTATTTAAGATTGATCCAAAAGGTTGCCAAAGACTAATGCAGGAGATTCCCGTGTGAAAAACTTTAACTTCAGAGTCGCTACTGACAGTGAACCTACCTGGCAAGCATGGTTAATGTGGCAAATTTACCTTTTTTAAAGATCTTTAATCAAATTAATGTAGAGATCAACAGTCCTTATCTACTTAATACCATTAGTGATCATCTTGAAATTTTTGTGATATTATTGATATAAATTTATCTATTATAATAATAACGCACACACTCAACATTGCCCTGCACTTGGAAAACCCTGTGTTGATTGCCATAGACACACACATAGACAACCACAAATTACACCCAAACTCACGAGAGCAATTAATGTAGGCCATACAAATATTTCTCTCGGACCGAGAATCGAACCTGGGACCTCTGAGTGGCACTATAAATACAACGGCCACCAGGCCACCGTCGTCATAAAGAATATTTGGTCCTCATAACATACCCGAGTTTTACAGAAATTGGCTCCTGAATTAGAGCTTAGCAAAAATAATAAAATCCAACTCTGGTCAAAAAATAATATAACGATTCGGTATCTAAATTTGTAATTCTTAAAAGTCGCTTCAAGCAACGCCTACACAAACTTTAATAGCAATTACTTATTTTCCTCTAAGAATTTATTGAATGCGTCTCGATATTTCTTATCTTTATCAAATTTTTCCACCAATTGATCCCAGGAGTCTTTGTGTCGATCCATCACGGCTCTGATCACCTTCCTGATTAACTGTTTTTGTTTGGGAGTGCATTTTCCACAAGTTGTTTCTAGTGCTTCTGGAATTACCTCTGAAAACATAATAAATACTCGTACATTATATATAACAAATTACACTCTGGATGTTATTTGAAACATGTGTCATAGTAGGCCGAACGATATAAAATATCGCAATATGTCTGTGGTATCATTGTTTCACATAATTATTTCCAAATAACTAACAATATAATAATGTTCCAGACTACGACGCTAATTGCATAGTCTTAACTAGAGAATTGCATATTCTTTGAGTGCCAAAGCAACGCAATGCCAGACCTGACACAATTTGGTAAAGTTCGTTTTTCAATGTGGTCTTATCGGGCATCAAACCCGGGACCGCCTCATTTAGCAACCGTTGAGCTACTGTGAAGACACATGTTTTTGCACCGTACAATATTTTTCGTAACGTAGCAACCAGCAAAGACAGTTGACAAATCGCTTCACTAGCGATCGGCCAAAGATAAGCATTCAAATCCATATTGTACACTTTTTATTTTAATACGTTTTTCTTTTTTTTTATAATATCAAGTGACGGGACGAACAAGTCGTGCGCCTGATGGTAAGCTACACGCTTGTCCATAACAGTTGCACTGCCACTCAGAGATTTAAATCACAAAGATCTGGGGGCACTCCCACTGCGTCCGTCACACTGAGACATAAGTTGACAAGTAACATGTGTCTGTAATTTCACCAGCACCTTCAAAACCGGAACGCAGTTCACATTACTGCTTGGCGGCAGAAATATGTAGGTAAGGTAGTACTGCCCTGGACGAACTTTTTCACAAGGAGCTGAACTGGTGCTAAAAAATGATACATTAACTTATTACGGAAATTGTTTACGTCAACTCAACATGCTTAATTCATCTTACTCTACTAACTATTACTCCAACCTATCAGAGATCCAAATACTTCTCGAAAAAGCGTCTTCTCGTCTATCAGTTATTTACAGTGTTGGTTGATAATTCACGTTATTACTTTTAGTTAATACTTACTTTTAAAATCTTTAGCATCAGGAGTACAAGGTCCTTGGTCGAGGAAGCATTTAGTATAATTAAGGAGAATCCTATCGTTCTCTAATAGTGGCTGGATGTCAAAGTTGTCGTAATGCGAACTGTAGAAATCCCCAGCGACCACTGTTAAGACGACAGCGAAAAGAAACGTAACGGATTTCATGTTGTGCTGTGAAGATAGAACAAATATTATAGATTTTTTATAAGTATTTAATAACAACCTTAACCTTAACTGAACAATGTTGAACGAGATGATTAGCTGAGGTACACGAAAGGATCCTCCCCGCACAACGAACCTTTCCTTTTTAATACGTTATAGATTATGCTATCGGTATAATGAAAAGGTGAAGTGGCGAAGTCAAATTATGTTTCTTTTAAAGTATTATCAGCTGAGGGTCAACGTGGTCTCTCTTTAGATTTCAATATTTAATCCAATAAACCGAGAAGCACTAATAATTTGTATAAATACTTTTGTACTTAAACATTGAAAATTATGACCTTTATTAGCAGAATATTTAATGTTCACATATATACATATATTACGATTTTATAGTCTCCAAATCCTCAAAATAATTTCTTTTGTAGTTGTAGACTTAATAGAAAAGTACTTATTGATTTTTTACGTGATTTTAAATTACCTTTACTTTTGTTTCGTATTTTGAACAATGTAATGTTGACAAGGCGCGTTGTAAAACTGACTGTGATCTATGCAAATATACTTGCACAAATGATGGTAAAATGCATCCTTGATTAACCTGCAATTATTTGAATACACTTGCGGAAACGTACTATGTGATTTTATTATTAGATCGTATATGTTTAAATACCTAGCTGGTTATTTATGTAGACGCATTCATTCTTTGCTTTTTATTACAACGCTCAAATAGTCCTATATACATAAGATAAAACAATATCCAATAGATCTGACGAGAGGGAGTATCTCTCACTGTCTAATGATTAATTACACTTTGTAAAAATGTTGGTGGTGTAAGTTAATAACTGTGACATCGTACCCTTGTTGGTATAATAAAGACAAATGTGATTAAACTTCAAAAAAGTTTTTATCACGAAAGTCATAAATTAATTAAAAAATACATGAAACAAATTAAATATATGTGAAAAATTTATAACTAATAAAAAAGTTATCGACTAATTTCGTTCGTCTATAAGCCTCTTTTTAACCGACTTTATAAAAAGGAGGAGGTTCTCAATTCGACTGTATGTTTTTTTGTATATATGTTACGCGATAACTCCGGTATTTGTGAACTGATTTTCATGATTCTTTTTTGTTGGAAAGAGGGTACCTCCATAGTGGTCCCATTTCATTTTGAAGAAAATCATCCACCTCTAAGGGTGGCTGATCACGCATGAACATTCATTTTCATAAATAGCACCTAAAGTTTACTTGAGGAGCAATTATTTTAATGGTTGGTTTTGCTATTCCCCAATTCAAGGCGTTTTTCTCTCTCAATATACTTTGAGTAGCGAGAACCGATGTTTATTATCTCCTGTGTCAAGTCCTGTATAGTGGCGAACTAGGGGATATTTCAATAAAACTTGGCAAATAGATGTAATTCCACGTACTTTTGAGGTCGGTTTGTTTAGTTCTCTGTACTGAGATTATTATCTGAAAAATTGTTCTTTTGCAGATGAGGCATTATTACACCACGAAGGGTTCGTTTGCAGTTTTTGATTACTTACCGATTTTTATTGAAGCTTAGTTTGTATAGGTACTAACTTTATACACCTTGAAATATTATATGTATAGGTACCTATTCACTTTAAACAAGTATAACAGACGCTTGTGATCTAGATCATGTATATCACGGATCGATCTTTTATATAATACGTATAATAAGACTGTGAGTAACACTAAGGATCCTTTGGCTTTTATAAACCGTGTTGTCATTGTCCTTAAATGTTAACATGTCGGTAATGTAAAACTGACTATTATTACAATCTCAGGATTGTGTGTGTAATACTAATGAATACATTTATCGACGCTGCTACATGTTTATGTTTCCTATTCCGGTATGCTATATATTATGCAATTTAATAAACCTGCAATAAAGGAGGAACCTAAAATTACACAAAACAAATAAAGGCAACATCCTTCTTCTTTTGATCGCCGTATTGTCTAAATTAGTAACTAATACAAATCTGTAGGTGAAAGGTAAATAACCATAAGTGCCAAATAGTACTTTTTACCGCAAATAGTACGTTTTAAAGACGGTGAGGCGCTTTAGGCATTTAAAATCATGTTAGGGCATTTATTCGACACGAATTCCATCGCGCTCGCCCCGCGCGGCCTCCGCGCGATCGCAGAGCGGAGTCCGCGTTACCGCCGCGCAGCGACCGCGTGCGTCTATCTACTACTACTACACTATCATGGCAAAATACGCTCTATTTATTTAGCTTTTATGTTTTAACTTAAATGAGCGTCCCGGACACGCGGGCGAGACTGGCTTCGATTTGGTTCACGCGGCGGCCACGCGGCGACTGAGTGGCGACCGCGCGGTTATATTATTCAGAGGAATTTAAATGTTGTTGCCTACTAAATAGAATTCAGATTCGCCATGTACATGAAGGCGTGGTATCTAGGCGCTTAAAATATACTAAAATATCTAAAATAAAATCAAGAGACGATAGCATTTAATGTCTTTTACCATTGCATGATTTTAGCATTCTACATCAAAGTTTGTAAAAACATCGACATTCGAAAATATGGATTTAAGGTCCTTTACTTCTCACCTACATTTATGTGAAAGGCATTCACACCCTACTTGGTCTCAAGCTACGGAATTACCTGTGTTTTGAGTACCAAAGTACTTACCGATAACTAAAAGAGCACTAGTCAGAACACCCAGACCAGAACACAATTAGAATAAGTCGTTTCCTAAATTAATCTAAAAGATATATGGCTTGGAACTGGTTTTCCTGAAGGTTATTCGTTTAGCAAACCAATGCCTCTGATTCCGCTGGATCTTACAATTAAAAAATTGGGGCGCGTACAGATCTTGCGAATGCGTCGCAAATGCGCTTATTTGCGAAAGGCTCGCGAATTGCACTGCATTGCATTAGATGGTGCGATCTATTCGCGTGTCGTTCGCGCGTCGCTCTCGTGCCACATATATTAACATGTATTTAACTGTACACATGCAGCGCGCGTGCAGCGCGCGTGCAGTGCGCGTAATAAATAATAGTCTAAGTCATTTGATTCTGTGCGAACCGTTAAAGTTTGGTGCGTGTGTTGGTTATTAAAAAATGTGCGTGGGTTATTAAAAAAAAATTAAAAACAGTACATGTTACGATAAAGCAAACGAAGCTATTAAAGGACTTAAGTTATATTAAGAACTTAAGACTTAGGTATAGCATATTGAAATAAGTGTGATACTTTTGTATAGACACGGACAGCTATTGATATGCTCTATCCAATCCTAAGCATATTAATTTTAAGGTTGGTATTTGCTTGTGTTGAGCCAATGTCCGACAATTTTCGTTCCCTACCATTGACTAACCGTTTTGATTTTCTACCTATTAAATCTAATTGACATGTTAAACACATGAGGTGCTAGCAATTTCAGTACTAATTGCCGAAGCTCAGAACTTCTTCGCTTCAAGCTTTGATATCAAGCTTATACAACGATTATCAACATACCTGGCAAAGGCGGCATTATGTCATATGTTTATTTTAGAGAAATCCTTTCGTCGTTTAAACAATTGTAGCAAAAAAATCACTTTAGCAAAATATTTTACCACTCAAAATGAGCGCGGTCAGTAGGATGTTTTTTTAAGTTTGTAATCCTAAAAAGTAGATTAAATATTAAATCTTTTTTATAATGTCACTTGTTTGTCCCCGCAAAGGAATCGCGTTTACGACTGCATCTTTACCATCTCCTTAGAAAAAAAGAGACATTTGAACCACAGAGTGTACTTTCAATCTCATCATAACAATGACATTGACACCATTCTTTGCCTAAATAATATTTACCTGTTTTTACATAAGTCAATGTGTTTTTAATTTAGAAAAATATATTTTATTCCATGAAAACTTGGTAATAACTTATACAGTATGCCACTGGATTGCATAAAAAGAACTAGTGGTGGAAAAGGAAACTTTGGTAAGTTCATTGAGAGGGACCCTAAAATATGCGCAGCGGGTATACCCTCACAGAAACCAAATGAATCTGTAGCAGATAATTTCAACCAGTATCTGTTAAAGGATGAAGTAGATGCTCTTCTCGGTGATGCCATCATTCCCCCACCGAAACCTCGCCCTCTTGCTCCGCTAAGAAAGCCTATTCCACTAGACAGTCGCTTTGCGGGCCCTTGTAACCAAGTAGCAGAACTCATAAATCCTCCATCGAAAACTAAATACAAAACCATTACTGAAGATCTTAGAGAAACACATTATGCTTCTTATTGGAAAAAGGGTCTCGGTCAAGTACCCGATCCAACGCCGATGCTTCCAACTGGCTTTGATAGAAAGGGTACAACTTTTGGGAAAAAGTTAGTACGTGAAATAACCTTATATGATTTGGTAATGCCCAAAAATCCCATAGATCAAACACTTCCATCGCGAGCTCCCGGTGTACAGACTTGCCGGAATTACTGTAAACCTGCTTTCAACCCTGATTTGACTTTTGGCGAAAGATTGTATGCCAACCCGTCAGGCGTTCTAATGAAATGTGCGCTGACTGACGATAGAGTAAAACTCGGTACTGATAAACGTACTATTACTAACTTTATTAAGACTGACGTGGATATGGCTTATCAAACTACACTTGGAAATTCATCGGCACCGTTTAATAATATAGATTGCGTCCCAGAAGGATTTTCTTTTGGCATGTTAAAGCGTCCAGAAAATCTTCCAGAATGTCTTACCACTTTGCCAATTGACCCACAGAAAGATAACGTAAGAAAATGTTTAGCTCATTTGAACTGTTTGCGTAAAATTATGGCAAAAAAATTTTTACCAACATATTTCAGACAATTCTATTTAGCACTTAAATATTACGATAAAGAAAGAACAGGATGGTTACCAAAGAACATCATATACGATTATTGCGGTGCACAAAACATTAGATTTGACCCGGCATTAATAGAACCTTTATTAGCATTGTGGAATGCATTTGACGGAAAAAATTGCATAGATTATAAAACATTTGTTCAAATTTTAAATTATAAAGCTGTTCTGCCTAATTTACCTAAAATATCAGAATTTCCCCCAGAATGTTTGGATTTTCGCACAACATATGGTGAAATGGTAAAACCAGGCCAGGAAAAAGATTGCACACTAATGGCTGGTTTACCTTCGGGTAGATACATCGATTTGAATTATCCAATTACACCTGAAGGATTTTGTGGTGCTCACAGAATTTGCCTTTGCCAGGAATCTGATATAAAGTCTGCCCTATCACCAAGCATACTAACTCTTATGTTCGTAAGTCACCGAGATATGTTCGCTAAGCGAGAACCACATGTAGTTAAAAGAGTATTTGAAGCTACAGGGGAAAAAATAACAGATGAAAGATTTAATGCTATTTGGGAAGAAGCCAAGAAGTATCACTCACAAGGATGGGTTTGTTACGAAACGTTTCGTAAGGCAATGGAAAAGTATCCTGCGGAAGATTTTGATACAAAGAAAGAAACAATTTAAAATAACTTTAAGTCCCTAAATTACTTTCATATTTTAATAACTACAATTCTTTTAATAGATGTACCTTGCTTTAACACGGCCGCATATCCTTTACCTTTAACTCAAGATTCAGGTTATTCTACGTTTAAAACACCTGATTCGTCGATGATGCAGGGTACTATTTAATTTTAATAAAATTATCTGTAGTGACAGAAAGTGTAGTGTATTATACATCTTAAGAGTAGAGTCATCATTTGCTCGTACTATTTATTACGTTACGTAGTCAGAGCGGCAATCTATTGTTGGTTGTTTATAATTCTATTATAGAATCCTAATAATTACACATGTTCATTACGTATTTATATATCGATATATAACATTATATTTTTCATTAATTCTGTAACTGGTATAATATTGAAGATTTATTTTAAACATATATATATAGTTCTTAAAATGTTATGTTTTGGACAGGTACCTTTAACTAAGGTAACCAAAGTATTTGAAATTACGTATCCAAGTTTATCATTACCTAATTAATAATTAGGTATATTCACTACGTAATATTTTATCGGCAATACAAATTGAAATTTCGAGAACCCTTCTCTAGCTCACGAAGTTATGGCGTCTTATTACATTGATATAATAAATCTGTTTTATTTTATATTACTCTGCACTAAAGAAAACAATAACTGAATGAGTCTCAAACATAAGTTTTTTTACTTACTTCGTTTCATCTTTCAAAAAACGAAAGAAACTCTCTTTATCCCGTTTAGATGATTATAAATAGCCGTACACAGCACAATTCACAACCATTATAAATAGTAACGTAAAATTAATGTTATATTAACGTAAAAATTTCGTAATGAAAAAATGAAAGCTATATTCAAATATCAAAGCTGTCTTCGAGCTAGAACGGCTCGCCGACAGCCTTGTTCTCTTTCAGTCAATGTGACCGTCAATGTGCGGGACGCGGTACGGTATCTAAAGTTAGGGAGGGGCGGAGAGTGTCCGTTCTCATTACTTATTTGTTCTCTGGCTATACGTGGCACTGCAACTGCCATTGACGGCGTGTCGCTTACCACCAGACGCACGATTTCTTGGTACTGGTGGTTACTTAGTACAATAAAAATAAAAGAAACCTTTAATGAATCGCCAGTATAATCTAATGTAAGTTATAATAGCGAGCCGGTTTTATTCTTGGTGCGAAGAAACTACTCGATTACTTTTTTGTCTATTGTTTTGTAACTTGCCCATAAAACAAAATGAGGTTGTACTTCTTTATAGGCTACTCACTTTTAAAATTAATTACATTTAATGGTAAAGTATTTTAAAAACAGGTTGTTATCTATCTTCTTAAACACTGGGTGCGTGTAGGTTCTTGTTTGATGTTACACGTTTCTATATTATCCTTCAAAGTATTTTTATAGATAAAGATTTATA